ATTTGAAGTGTGCCAAACCCTGCTGAAACTGAAGCCAGGGCATTTCAGCTCATCATTACTCCTCCTGTGTAATAAAAAAAAAATGTTTAGTTAAAAAATAAAGCAAAAAAGTCGCAGCATTTAAAATCCTGTCTTTGGTAAAAAAAAGAAATCCCAATAAGTGTATATTAATTGGTTTGTGTGAATGTTATAGTGTATACAAACTATGGTATATATACACAATTATTAGGCAAATTTAGTTTTTTTGACCAAACCAACATTTTTATGCATAATGTCCAACTCCAAGCTGTATAAACTTGAATGCTTATTGGATTTAAAGCGGAGTTCCACCTGGGGAAAAAAAGAAAAAAGTCAGCAGCTACAAAAACTGTAAAATACAGACACTTACCTGTCCCTTGGTCCAGCGGTGTCCTCACCACGGCTGGTTTCAATGGCCATCTTCTCTCCCCAGTGCCAGCATCTTCAGTGTGGGCATCCGGCTGTGACAGCTTGCGGCTTCACAGCTGGGCGCCCACTGCACATACGAAGCGCCGCCTTCAAAAAAACTTGTGGCAAAAAATAAAATCTTCAATGGACTCAACATGCCTCTCAGCAAATACCTTGGGGTGTCTACTTTCCCAAAAGGGGTAATTTGGGGGGTGTTTGAAACTGTCCTGGCATTTTTTGCCCAAGATCTGAAGCTTACGCCGCACATCCACCCACTCTTTTAATGTTGGGAATACATGTAATGTTCCAACGGACTCCTCCAATCACATCAATCGATGTAGAAGAAGAAATCTCTACCAGAAAAAAATATATGCTGAAGCATGGGAGTTACAGCCCACTGACCACCCCACTTTCCTAATGCTGGACATACAAAAAAAAAAAAAAACAGATTCCTCCATCCACATCAATTGTTGTGGATAAACAAATCTTTGCCGGGAAAAAAAGTGAAAGAAGTATATGCCAACACAGAAGCTACATCCCTCCTTTTCTCAATCTGAATGGATGGCTCAAAGGATCTGTGAGTGCACAACCGCTGCATAGCCCTATGTAGCACCACCGCTGCTGTTCTTCACACTACTTCCTCCTTCCTCTCTGCTGATACTCCGTGCAGGATAGAAGTATGAGGAGAACTCCAATAGTGTATTACCGTAAGGCAAGTATTTAACAATACCACATACACATCCACCTGTGGGACAGCATGGATTACCGCTATAAAGCGATCCAAAAGAATTACTAAAAAACACAACAGGATTAAAGCACAGGGTGCTTAATGGCATTACATATATAGCCCGCCAACATGTTTCTCCATAACAAGCATCGTCAGGGTATTAGAGGCCGTGCTGTACCACAAGTGGATGTGTATGTGATTGTTTTTTAATAAAAGTTTGATAAATGATAAAAAAGGTAAGGATGTACTACACCGCTGGTGCTTGCCAGATCACCAAAAAGTAGTGCAGCACTAGTACTTGCGCTCTGTTGCACATGACCATAATTATGCATTTCTATAAATTCAGCAACATGGGATTGGGTACGCCTGGTTTTACCAGGGATTTCTTCACCATTATCTGAGCTAGATATCGGGGTGCCACTGCTTTCTACAGGTTCATATTCTGAGCCTGATTCTGACAGTGAGGCCTCCCCTTTTCTCTCATCTGTCATGCTCAGAATGCTGTACGCCTCCTTACTAGTGTACCTTTTTTTTTTTTTTTTTGGCCACAAAATTTACAGGTACCTAAGAGCTTCTGGGTTTTGCAACCAGGGACTTGCACGCTAGAAATACAATTAACTGCTAGAACTAGCAGAGATCAGACCTGATCTTGTTAATGATGCAGTTTTGTGTACAATATATCAGAGGTGACCGTGATCAGAAAAATAAAATTGATGCTGCACTTGTTGGGGTTTGTGGCTAAATGCAAGTGCTGACAATGATCGGGGCTGATTCTGCCAACACTGCTTTTTTGGGGACACTATATTTATGGGGACTGATCATGATCAAGTTACTGATCGGTACAGACACTATGCTAGTAATGACAGTGATCAGCAACTTATGGTCTGACTGCGATAGTGTGGCGGGCAATCTGGCACTAACTGGTCCTGGCTGGGAGAGATGCTAACTGACTCTGACACTATGCAAAAAATTAAAAATACCAGTATTTTATTCAGTAGGGTGTCTGCTTTCAGAAAATATGGGGTTTGGGGGTTTTAACTAATCTTCAGGCCTAAAATTATATTTTAAATATCTAAAAAAATGTTTTTGGGACTCGGGGTTAAGGGGGGCACAAACGGCAATTGTGGGTTTTTTTTTTTTTTCTCAAGTGCTGTGTGTAGAGGCCAGAATATTTGTCAGGTTTTTAATGCTATCTTTGCATTTATTGGGCATACCCCTCTTACTGTCACCTGCTGACAAGTGTCAGACAAAATAGGGCACAAGTGAAAATCTGCTTAGTGGTGATCCATTCACCAGACAAACCTGACAGATGATCTAATACAGGTAGCATGCAGACAAGTCATGGTCTTCCCAGCTTGCTGCAAAGTTAGAGACCAAAAGTATGTTGGGTATTGGGAGTTACTGAGATCGCCTTTGAACTAGCTCCTTGGATTTTTCTTATCTCTTTTTTTGGAGTTCTATCTTATTTTATAGTATGTTGCTTTTTATTACCAGATTGTCTGAATAATCAATGTGGGGAAAAAAATTGCACGTGTGAATTTGGAATAATAAAGTTTTTTTTATATATATATATATATATATATATATATATATATATATATATATATATAATGTGTAAATGTATTTTTACCAGGTCCCATAGTGCTCTGTTTCTGGGTCCTATGTCCTGAGGTTGTGGCAGCACTGTATTGTCAACGGAGTCCTAAGTGAAAAAAGAACTCCAGAAAGAGTAATTCTAAAGCTTGGGAGGGTAAGTGTAATGTATAATTGTCATTTAGATCTGTCATGTCTTTGATGTGACATAGGCTCTGAACATCACACTTTGTGCTGCACTCTACAGTGTTTGAACTTAAAGTGGTATTAAACCCAAAAGCAGTCATTTATTCTATTGCAGCTTGCCAATTCTTAAATGTGATTTTTGCATTAGCTTTTTTTTTTTAGGCTTTCTTCTATTTTCATCTGGTACGCTGGCCAGTAAGTGTGTGTATATATGTGTGTGTGTGTGTGTGTGTGTGTGTGTGTGTGTGTGTGTGTGTGTGTGTGTGTATATATATATATATATGTATATGTATGTGTGTGTGTGTGTGTGTGTATGTGTGTATATATATATATATATATACACACACACACACACACACACACACACACACACACACACACACACACACACACACACACATATATATAATGTATGTGTGTGTGTATATATATATATATGTGTACATACATACATACACATATATATATATATACACACACACACATATATGTATATGTGTGTGTGTGTGTGTGTGTGTGTGTATTATATAATTTTTTTTTTTTTTTTTTAAAGAACAAACTGTCCTGCAAATATAGCACTTGAGTGTTTGAGACAAGCCGTTTACCACTGACAGGGGTGGTTTGGTCAGCTTTTATGCATGTAAAACCTTTATCTCAAATGGAAATAAATGTTTTGCTGTATCTTCTTATAAAGTATAAACTGGAATTTTGGCCTTCATTTGTATCTAAATCTGCTAGAACATCGAACACTTCCCTTCCCCCAGACTGACAATGCCAAATGTGCCCCCAGTGCTCTTTCATCCAGAGTAGGGGCACTCTAATACAGGAGGTGGGTTACTGACCAGATCACAAGGTGAAAACAGAGGTGGGACAAAGCCTAAGAAAACAAAACAAATGCAGGGACCACATCTAATGATTGGTAAGTTGCAGTATATTACATTTTTGGTTTTGTGTTAAATACCACTTTAAGTAGTCTTTTCTATTGAACTATCAGATTCCTCAACTTCCCAGCTTGTTTCAGTGTAAGGGGGACCAGAAGTAGATCAGGGAGAGCAGCAGAGGGAGATGTTTAACCCACCTTACCTTGTGAAGGACACTACGGAGATGTGATTTGCAGGTACCACTTCAAAGAAAACACGACTTATTTCACAATGCAAAGTCCATGCAAATCTTGACTTTTCCTGGGTGTCATCAATAGCCCTGTATCAATAGCTACATCTGGTGCTCGTTAATCAGTGAAGCTGTCTGTCACTAATGGACCAATAAGAAGGCGTGGGAGTGCAAGGTCTAAGTTTGAGGTTTACAGTCACAAAGTCGAGATTTGGATATAATTTTTGCTGCTTGTATCAGTGGATGTACTCTCTTAACTCTGCATTCACACTTGTGTAGCATGTGAATTTGCACAAAACTGCACAGTTTAGTGTGTGTGTGTTCACGAAACAGAAGAAGAAAATTAATGTCTCGCTTGCAGTCCCATTCATTGTTAATGGCCCCAGCAAATGCTGTATACAAAGCTTAAACACTTCCAGTCCACCCTATAGCAGAATTACTGCTACAGCGCGACATGGGTGCGCAAAATCATGTTTTTACATTTCCGGGTAGGGGGCGCGCACCTTACCTGTGCTGCCATTCGCGCCCTCGACTGTCATTCACCGGGTCCCGGACGGTGATTACTCGCTGGCCGGGGGGGGGGGGGGGGGTGGAACTGCTTGTAAACAAAACAGTTCTGTCAGCTTCTGCACACTGCTTTGCATGGCTCTGCATAGCACAGCCATGCAAAGCAGTGTGCTTACAGGGAAGCGAACACAGTAAAACAGCACACAGTTAACGCTTTGATTGCCCCGGATGTTAACCCCTTCCTGCCTAGTGCCAATAGTACAGTGTCTGTGCTTTTTATTAGCACTGATCACTGTATTGGTGTCACTGGGGATGTCAGTGACACCAAGTCAGTTCCCCCTAGTGTCAGAATGCCCGCCGCAGTCCCGCTATAAGTCGCTGATTGCCACCATTATTCGTAAAAAAGAAAAAAAATCCCAGTATATATACCGCCATTTGTAAATGCTATAACTTTCACATAAACCAATTAATTTACACGTATTGGGATTTTTTTAAGCAAAGACATGTAGCAGAATACATTTATGCTGAAGATTTTTTTTAAAAAAATTTACTTTACATGTTTAATAGCAAAAAGTCAAAAATACTCATAATTTTTTTTTTCTCAAAATTGTCAGTTTTTTTTTTTTTGCGCAAAAAATAAAAACCGCACAGGCGTTCAAATACCACCAAGAGAAAACTCTATTTGTGGGAAAAAAGTACACAAATTTCATTTGGGTGCAGTGTTGCATGACTGTGCAACTGTCAAAGTAACACAGCGCTGTAGAGCAAAAAATGGCCTGCTCAGGAAGGGGGGGGGGGGGGTAAATACTCAGGAGGGCTAATGGTTAAAAAGATAAAAGCATGTAGGGCAGTGTCTTGAAATGAATGGGCTGCCTTATGTGTGAAGCGCGACAACATGCAAAAGGTGTATACTGTATGTGTGCCAAACTACATTACAACTATTAAAGCCCCCTGGCCACCCGTGTGAAAGAGCCCTTTAAAGAGAAGTATGGCTAAAGCTTTTTTTGGCCATGATCTTCTTGTGGGTCAATGGAGTGCACTTACTTTTATTCTGCTGTGACCCAGAGCTAACAGTAGGCTATTGCCCATTATTAGCTGACTTGGCAGGATCTGGAAGGATTCTGATAATATTGTCAGTATCCACTCAGATGCCTGACTGGCAGCTGGCGTACTGCTCCCTCTCCAGCCCAGCTCTCCAGTAAGAGCTGAAGAGGCAAGGCGGAGAGCAGTGACAGTTGCTGCTCTGAGCAGACAGAATTGATCCGTGATCTTAGAGCAGACATGAGACTGCTTTTATTTATTTCAAAGATGAAACACAAAAGACAAAGTCACCATAGGTATACCTTTTTAAAAACCTTAACCTTTATTGCAATAAAGTAAAGCCATCCTAACTGTGTATAAGTAATGTATGGATAGCCCCCATGAGCATTGGTGGGGTGGAGAGCGGTGACTGAGAGTCACTGATTTCCACTCTGGCTTTAAGACCCCTGATTACTCAGTTCTCGGTCTTTTCAATGTGGGACAGCTGAAGCATCACACCAATACTGCAGCATAGAGGTGAGCATGTATGTTTGTTTTACATTACAACCCCACATAAAAATGCAGGAAATCTTCCAGAAATATTTTAATTCCAGGTCAAAAGATGCAGTTGATCCACGTAGAATATATCCAGGCTGATCTACATATTTATCCCAGTTGGAACTTCCCAGCAAGATTGTGAGACAGATATTCACCAGGGACACAAATTGTAACCATACAAAGCCATAACATGGTGAGGAAGTTTAGACATCTAGAAAAGATCCTACTGAAGTGCAGTGCCTTCAAATCTGATTAATATAGGATTTGAAAGCTAATCTCATAAAGTAAATAAGATCTTTGTAATCACATGGAGTTTCCTGACAGTATTTGCCACTCCAAATATTGATGCATAGTCAGGTGGATTTATCCTGCAATTCTGTAGCTGCAGTATCTAACATATCCTCCAAAAGTGTTTCTGTAGGGACCACTGAGGTGAGCCATATACAGTCATTTACTACTTAACAACTGAAGCCCATAAATAGAGAAAATAATGCAATGTGTAAATAAGGTCAGTCACTCAGTGCGCCAAAATTCTAGTAGGAGGAATTTGCATCTGGCGTATTTGTAAGTCCATCCTTGTGTATGAGATGTAGAAGAATCACACCACTGGTTGCACACTATAACCATTTCTACCTAGTGCCCTTATAATGTACTCAGACACTTCTTCCCGCACTTTCGCAAAGAGGATTCATTGCAGGACAGTCTATTCCTGGGTTACCGCATATTCCTACCGAACTCACCGTATTTTCCACATTCTACTACATGAGTACCCTACTGTAGAGTATGCTCAGATGTACCTATGTAACTATGGCAGAGCAAGCATTCATTCTGCTGAAGGCCCACGCAAATTTCAGCCTCAGAGTGATGTGCCTTAGTACCATAGCAAGAATCAGTCTAAACACCAACTTCAGCATCCAATTCTAGCTCTATTTTAGATACGCAACTGGGGACCTATATGACAAAAGCAGAATTTTCTGTATTTTTTTGTCAACATTTCTGAGACAAATTACAGCCTTCATCCATCTTTTGTCCAGACAAAAACACCCATCTCTTCATTTACTCCCATTTTTCAACCAGAGTTGGACCCTGATATGCTGGTCCTAGAGGATGTTGAATTGGAGAGTAATGAAAGACATAGTGGCAGTGTTAGAGGAAACTTCAGAAGATTTCTCTCCCCAACACTTGCAATATCGAGAGGGGAACTTTCTTTAATATGCTTGCTAATGTTGAAAAGCACATTTCCTCTGTCCATAAAAGCGTTGGCATTATACAGGTGAATTTTCCTCCAAGTCACCACACCCCTTTGGGCACAATGAGACCTACTAAACCTTGCAAAACATTCCTTGTTCTCTGATGACTGGGTCACTCCTGAAAGGATTTTCACATCCCTACAGATCTTTTCTGAACTCTATTCAGTTGACTATGTTTAAGGCCATTTAATGTGAAACATATCAGCTTTCTTGTAGGGCTGTGTCTTTAGCCAAAAGTGGGCTATTCCTGTGGTTAACCCTGCTGCCAATATACTCATTAAAGATGTTCCGTCTTCTAAAGATTATGTGGACAGAAAATTTGACATGCTTTTAAAAGCTTTCTTTACCCTGTAGGCAGCTCTAGCTGCTATTTCAGAATGCCAAACCACACCTGAGCAATGAATGAATAACCAACATCACCCTGTCTCAAAGAATTGGGCAGTTGCAGAGCAATTACAAAAACTTCTATCTAAGCTTATTTTCTGTGTAGATACCCTAAAACCCATAAGGAGATAAATATTCAGAATGGCTTTTATCTGTTTTCATATACACATAATTCTCTGGCTAAAAGCTTGAACAGCAGAACCTACCTGTAAGTGACGCCTAATACTTATGCCCTTTCAAGGAAGATGGCTGGTAGGTCAGGCACCAATTCAATAAAGAGGAAAACTTTTGCTTCTCCAGAGAAAACAACCCTTTTCTTCAGGTGCTTCTGGCTTCTTTAAATACAGAGATCCTCTACGCTCTTTCCAGGCATCAGCTTCAAAACCTAAATTTAGCCCTTCCTTTCAGCACAAGGCTTGGCCACAAAGGACACAAGCCCTCCCCAAAACCCTCTTCACAATGAAGGGGCGCCTTCACTCCTAAGTATGGGGCAACGTCTTTTGCAGTTTGCATCCCTCTGGACTACAGATGTCCCAGACATGGTTTCAATTGATCGTTTTCAAAGGATACAAGGTAGAGTTCAAAACTCTACCTCCTCACTGCTTTTCTCTGTCAGATCAACTAAATGCTGTCCAAAGGCAGTAAGATTTGCAAAAGGCCCTGAAACACCTCTTGTCCCAGGGAGTCACTGTACCAGTACCACCACAGGAGTAGTTAAAGGGATTCTTCAAAATCCTGTTCAAGGTAACAAAGCCCAACAGAGGTATTTGTCCTATCCTGGATTTAAAATCCTTCAACAAATTCCTTCACGTTCTAACAATTTATATGGAATAGGCAAAGTCAGTAATTGCCTCTCTGAGCCAAGGGGTTACCATGGCATCAGTGAACATCCAGGATGCCCATTTAGAAAAAAAGAAGTTCTTTCTAAGCTTTTGCTCAGCAACTGAGATCCAAATGAAGTCCCACAGTGATATTCGCCATGAGAGTTCTGTGCCTAATGGTGGCCTCCTTCAAGGCAGTACCATTGCCAAGTCCATTCTAGAACTCTCAAACTTAACATTCACTCAGCATGGAAAAGGCGCCTTTTTTCATGGATCTACCCATGCCTCTTCCCAAGACTGTCAGGCTGAGGGAGGAGTCTTCCAGTCTTTGACAGCCAAACGCCTAATCAACATCTTGGAATTTTACAATGGGACAGTGCAGACGATCATGGCGTGTGCTCTGGTGGGACAAAGGAATTTGACGGTCCCCAAAGGAACCACAACTAGACAGTGTGGGTTTTCGTGGCGATAGCCCTGAGTGGGCTCTATTTATTGCTGGTTTCTAGACCAAATCGTCTGCACTGTCCTGCTGTAGTTGCCTGCAGGGCCGCCGAAAACCATTCTCTCATAAGGGATCCCAACGCGGGATGCCCGCGCAGCCGCAGGGTGACACGTGACATCACCACGCTTTGCCACGATTGGCCATGCGTGCACACCGCGATGCAAACCCACCATCAAAATGGTATGTAGTAACTACTGAAAAAGCGATATCCTCGCGAAACATGTTGAGTCACTATGGTTATTGATACCTGATTCATGTCTTCTTATACCCTTACCGGGATACGGTATATTTATATGTATCAATATTTTATGTATCTACGAGATTTGTAACTGCATAGAGTGTACTACCCCATTGGGGGGTTTACACTCTTTGCAGATATTGTTATGTACTGCTGCACAATTGTGTACACTCAAAGTAACAATTTTTAATGAACATTGCAGTGCCTATAAAGCCCATTTTTCTGGCCTGTCCTCTTTGGTTGTATATATCCTTAGATAATCTCATGAACCGAAACTCCGTATCCAGTGAATTTTTTTTGTGATCCTTTCTAGGTGTGGACAATTGGCAGATGAATTATCTCTGCCGCCACCACCTGGACCAAGGGGAATGGTCTGTTCAACCTGATGTTCTTAACCACTTCCCGTCCCGCCGTTGTATATAAACGGCCGGACGGTGGCAGTGCAGGGTCGGGTGGCCGTTTATAAACGGCCTCCTCGATTCCTGCTTATGCACGCTCACTGGGAGCGCGCAGCACTGATATCCGGTGCCCGCTGTATCCTCCGGACACAGTGGAACACTGATCGTCGGACGGGACCTCTATGGAGGTCCCGATCATGTGATCACTGATTAGCCAATCGGTGATCACATGCAGAGTAGTAAGCAAGATGTCACTTCTGACATTGATTATTACTTGTGAAATCTGTGAATGATCACAGAGATCACATGGTACAAGGCTATTCACAACAGCCTTGTACCATGTGACAAGCTGTGACCAATCACAGCTCACACAGTAGTTCTCAATGGCTGCAAGAATGCAGCTAGAGAGAAGGAGAAATAATTGCTTTTTACAGCTTTGTTTTTATGGGTATAAAAGCAATCCGTGAAAAAAAAAAAATCTTCATCACCCCCCACAAGTAGTACAGTGAAACCATGGTGACACTGTACTGCTAGGTTGACAGTATGTAAGAAAAAAAAAAAAAACACAAATATAAAAAAAAGTTAAAAAATTATAATTTTTGGTTATAAACTAATTAGGGTTGTGTGTGGTGGTTTTTTTTTAAATTTTTTTTACTAAAAAGATAACGGAATACATTTTGGCCAAGATTTATTTATTTGCTAAATTTTATAAGAAAAACACTTTTTTTTCAAAATTTTGGGATTTTTTTCATTTACATGGCAAAAAAAAAAAAAATCCCAGTGGTGAATAAATACCACCAAAATAAAGCTTTTATCTGTCTCAAAAAAATGCAAAAAAATTTATATGGGTACAGTGTTGCATGACCGCACAATTGTCATTCAAAGTGTGATAGCACTGAAAGCTGAAAATTGGCCTGGACAGGAAGGGGGTAAAAGTGTCTGGACTGGAAGTGGTTAACTAGTAGCCGACTGCAGATAGCCGAATGACGGCTGCACTGCGGCCGGCCAGTTCTGGGAGGACGTCATATGACGTCCCCCCAGAACGCGCTCTCCTGCGCGCCCCCAGGGGGCGCGCACCCGGCGATCTCCGTGATCGCTGTGTCCTACGGACACAGCTGATCACGTGATGTGGTAAAAGGCCAATCACAGCGGCCTTTTACCACGTGATCAGCGGTGTCCAATGACACGCTGATCACAGGGAAATGCAAGTGCCGGTTCTCGGCTGCACTTTCCTCACGTTGTCAGATCGTGAGGAAAGTACTGCCAAGAACCGGCAGTTGTCAGAGCGGGGATCGGCACCGATCATCAGGGCACTGATGATCAGTGCCCTGATGATCGGTGCCCAGCAGTGACACCCGCAAGTTCCGCCCACCTGTGCCCAGCAGTGCGCCCACTAGCTCCGCCCACCCGTGCCCACCTGTGCCACCCACCTGTGCCACCCACCTGTGCTGCCAGTCAGTGCCACCAGTCAGTGCCCAGGGGTTGTGCCAGTCAGTGCCGCCAGTCAGTGCCCAGCAGTGATGCCAGTCAGTGCCGTCTATCAGTACCCATAATCAGTGTCACCTATCAGTGCCGCCTATCAGTGCTGCATATTAGTGCCGCCTATCCGTGCCACCTCATTAGTGCTGCCTATCAGTGCCCTTTAGTGCCACCTATCAGTGCCCATCAGTGCTGCCTCATCATCAACGCACATCAGTGAAGGAGAAAAAATACCTGTTTGAAAAATTTTATAAAAGAAACAAAGAAACTTTTTTTTTTTTTTCAAATTTTTTGCAATTTTTTTATTTATAGCGCAAAAAGTAAAGCGCCCAGCAGTGATTAAATACCACCAAAAGAAAGCTCTATTTGTGAGAAAAAAAATGATCAAAATTTCATATGGGTACAATGTTGCATGACCGCGCAATTGTCAATCAAAGTGCGGCAGCGCTGAAAGCTGAAAATTGGCCTGGTAAATAAGGGGGTATAAGTGCCTGGTAGGCAAGTGGTTAATATGATATGCCAAAAATATTGGGGGCTGCAGATGTTCATGTCTTAGCCTCCTGATACAACAAGCTATCTCTCTTTGTATCCAGAGCCATGGATCTTCTAGCTCTAGCTTCAGATGCTCCAGTTATCAGTTGGTCTCAGTTCAGGCTAGGCTTTGTCCAAGCCCTCCACACCCCCCTCCCCCCCCCTCCCCCCCTCCCCCAACCCCTGCAGAGCATACTACCTTGCATGCTCCACAAAACAGAGTGGGAGAGGAGAAAAGTGATTCCTTCTGGTACCAAACAGGCCTAGATAAACCTGGTACGCTGGCATACTCTGACTTCTTGCAGAAGACCCCTGCCCTCTTCCCAACAGACTTGATCTGCTATCTCAAGGCCCTTTTATTTTTTCCTGCTTCTCAGTCTCTGGTTTTAACAGCATGCCTGTTGAAATCCAGGTACTAATGGATAGAGGAGTCTGTCATTATGTTGGATTTTAGACACATATAATACTTCTTCTAGTGTCTTGAGGCGATTATGAATGAAAGAGCCATTGAAATAAAAAATGAAGTGTGATTTTATTCTATCACACAATGGTGTAAAATAACAATGTAAAGCGTATTATGAACAGTTCCATGTAGATAAAACTACTGTAGAAATAACAAGCAAAAGTTTAAAGATAAGTCACCATTATCTGTCATAGAAGTCCGGCCATGTGCTGTTCTGTCCTTCATGTTCTTGTCCTTCTCATGTCTTTTTGGGAAGAAGCCGGAAATAGACGGAAATGACGATATTGCAGCATGCACCTGTTACAGCTTCTCAGTCGTGTATGTATGTGTGTGTTATGTATGAAAGAGTGTCAGTATTAGCGTGTGAGAGTCAACTCCTCTGTCCCTTATGGACCCTTTTATGCAGAATGAGTGTCATAACGAGAGATTCTTAATACCTTGTATGGCATAGAAGGGAAGGGACGACACTCACATGTTTTTGATGGACAGGAACATATGTATGCTGATGTACATAATATTATAAGCTAATGATGTAACCCTCAGCTATATATTTAAAGAATAATATAGCTTAAGAACATATCAATGTATAATCACTAAACTATATATGTATCAATGTTAAAAACGTATACTAAATACACACAGATACTATTAAAATACATAATGTAATAGTAAGTCACTTCTAATAACCTTGACATATACTACCGGAGACGTTTAACCAGCTATGCCTAAATATACTCTTCAGCTAGTTAGCTGTCTCAGATAACTTACCCAGATTTACTGTCTCAGCTTAACTTGTATATCTTTTGGTCTCGGTTATAATTGAAGAATTGTAATACTACCATTTGTCAAAAGACCATTCACACATATTAATATTAATTACGACTAATCATAAAAACCAAATATTTTGCAAGCTTGCCATCAATATAAGTGCCGAATCATAATTTTGATTTCTTAACACATTACTACCTTGCTGAAAGCAAGAAAAGCCACATTCAGGAAGATTTATTATTGTACTGGAAATCTTACTACACCTGGTGTGAGTGCTGTCAGTTCAGTCCTAGAGATTATTCTGGGCCCCACGATTTGGCATTCCTACAAACAGGTCTTGACCAAAATCTAGTTCTCAGCACCCTAAAAGGGCATGTTTTTACCTTACTCATGTTTTTCCAAAGTCTTAAACTTCACATTCCCTCATAAAAACCTTTATTCAAGGTGTTTCTTGTTTTAGGCTTTCCATACAGTGCCCTTTGCTCTCCTGGGACCTTAACTTGGTTCTTTCTGCCTTGCAAAAACCACCGTTTGAACCCATATTTTCTTTTGGAGTTTTACCAGCAAAGTATCCTTTCTGGTGGCCATCACATCTGTTAGACGTATCTCAGAACTAGTGGCTCTTTCCTGCAAGAGGCCATTCTCATTCTTCACAATGATAAGATCGTTATACACCCTAGGCCATCCTTCCTTCCAAAGGTGGTTTCAACATTCTGTCTCAATAAAGACAAAATACATATATTGTATTTTTCACATTTTTACCCACTTCCTGTATATAGCAATGAGCTAAATTATGATATAAAATATTATAATAAGCATAAAGTTATTCATGATTGAGGGCTAGCTAGAGTCTGATTTTATCCTGTACAAAAATTATCGATTTACCAGCTGCACAAAATCCTAGTATTAATGCAAAGTCCAATTTTTGTAGCACGGTCAACTGCATGGCAGATTTTAAGCAGATTTTCCATTTTGTCTTTTCTATTCATGCATGTTGAAATTGCCAACTCCAAATCGACTTGCCTGTGGCAATTTTACTTTGCATGAACATCTGTTTTAAAATAAACAGGTTTTTAAATTTAAGGTGACACTGCTAATAGAAATATTTTTTCAGGCAATTGCTCCTTTGCTTTTCTGGCCTCCTCTGACTCACGCACCAAAAACACATTAAATATACAACAACACATTAAATATACAGTGCACAGACTTTTAACAGCTCCAAGACAGTTTAATTTTTGATTTCCCCCAAGTCCAACACCTGATCTACCATATGCTTTGAATCTTTGTAGCTTCAAAAGATTATAGGCTGGTCCCAAGGGTTGAATAGTTAGAGCAGAGTGACAGATCATTTATACCAGAAGGGTTTAGTTCAGATTGTCAAGGTCCTACAAAGAATACACTATCTATGAATAAAACAATGGGTCTCGATCCAGCTCTATAGCATAGAGGCAACTCTTTTGTTCTGACTGAGAATATATGACACTCTGGACATTTAGCAACCCTTTAGGAAGTGTGGTAACTTTACAATATGGATTGAAAGTGTTACCAGTTATGGACTATATTGTCCATTTTAAGGATAGCAGTGCCTTGATTAGATCTTGGCTCTCTATTTAATGGTAGGTGTAAATAGCATAGAAGTAGATAAAGTAGTAGATAACCAGAGGACAGAAAAGATTAGTATACATTCAAGTAGAATTGCTAGCAACTATAGCTGAAAAATATACCGTATTTCGTGCTCCATAAGACGCACCTAGATTTTAGAGGCGGAAAACAAGAAAAAAAATATTCTGAACCAGTGGACTGCAGACACAGTACAGGGGATGGACCATAGACAGCGGACACAGTACAGGGATGGACCAGAGACAGCGGACACAGTACAGGGGATGGACCAGAGACTGCGGACACATTACAGGGGATGGACCAGAGACTGCGGACACATTACAGGGGATGGACCAGAGACTGCGGACACATTACAGGGGATGGACCAGAGACTGCGGACACATTACAGGGGATGGACCAGAGACTGCGGACACATTACAGGGGATGGACCAGAGACTGCGGACACATTACAGGGGATGGACCAGAGACTGCGGACACATTACAGGGGATGGACCAGAGACTGCGGACACATTACAGGGGATGGACCAGAGACTGCGGACACATTACAGGGGATGGACCAGAGACTGCGGACACATTACAGGGGATGGACCAGAGACTGCGGACACATTACAGGGGATGGACCAGAGACTGCGGACACATTACAGGGGATGGACCAGAGACTGCGGACACATTACAGGGGATGGACCAGAGACTGCGGACACAGTACAGGGGATGGACCAGAGACTGCGGACACAGTACAGGGGATGGACCAGAGACTGCGGACACAGTACAGGGGATGGACCAGAGACTGCGGACACAGTACAGGGGATGGACCAGAGACTGCGGACACAGTACAGGGGATGGACCAGAGACTGCGGACACAGTACAGGGGATGGACCAGAGACTGCGGACCTTTTGGGGAGGGAGGGAGAGCGGGTACCTGAATTTGACAGGTACCCGCTCCCACGGAGTGGTCCTTCCCTCTTCTTCCCGTGCCGGCTTCTGTGACAGCCGGGTGCCCACTGCACATGCGCGAGAAGCGCTGCGCTTTGTGAAAGGCCTGGCGCCTTCTGGGACTTGTCATGTCTCCCAGATGACACTGGACCATTCACAAAGCGCAGCGCTTCTCGCACATGCGCAGTGGGCACCCAGCTGTCACAGAAGCCGGCGCGGGAAGACTACAGCAGGAGGTAAGGACCTGCAGGAGAGAAGAGCTGAGCGGCCAGCCTGATATTCTAACATGGTGGCGGCAAAAAAAATACCGGACCGGCCGCTCCATATTCGCTCCATAAGATGCACTGACATTCCACCCCCCCCCCCTTTTTTTGAGGGGAAAAAAAAATGCGTCTTATGGAGCGAAAAATACGGTAGTTTCCACAGTGTAAATGGGAGATACAGTCTGGTCCATAAATATTGGGACATCTACACAATTCTAACATTTTTGTCTCTATACACCACCACAATGGATTTGGAATGAAACAAACAAGATGTGCTTTAACTGCAGACTGTCGGCTTTAATTTGAGGGTATTTACATCCAAATCAGGTGAACGGTGTAGGAATTACAACAGTTTGCATATGTGCCTCCCACTTGTTAAGGGACCAAAAGTAATGGGACAATTGGCTTCTCAGCTGTTCCATGGCCAGGTGTGTGTTATTCCCTCATTATCCCAATTACAATGAGCAGATAAAAGGTCCAGAGTTTATTTCAAGTGTGCTATTTGCATTTGGAATCTGTTGCTGTCAAGTCTCAAGATGAGATCCAAAGAGCTGTCACTATCAGTGAAGCAAGCCATCATTAGGCTGAAAAAACAAAACAAACCCATCAGAGATAGCAAAAACATTTGGCGTGGCCAAAACAACTGTTTGGAACATCCTTAAAAAGAAGGAACGCACCCATGAGCTCAGCAACACCAGAAGACCACGGAAAACAACTGTGGTGGATGAGCGAAGAATTCTTTCCCTGGTGAAGAAAACACCCTTCACAACAGTTGGCCAGATCAAGAACACTCTCCAGGAGGTAGGTGTATGTGTGTCAAAGTCAACAATCAAGAGAAGACTTCACCAGAGTGAATACAGAGGGTTCACCACAAGATGTAAACCATTGGTGAGCCTCAAAAACAGGAAGGCCAGATTAGAGTTTGCCAAACGACATCTAAAAAAGCCTTCACAGTTCTGGAACAACATCCTATGGACAGATGAGACCGAGATCAACTTGTACCAGAGTGATGGGAAGAGAAGAGTATGGAGAAGGAAAGGAACTGCTCATGATCCCAAGCATGGTGGTGGTAGTAGTGTCATGGCGTGGGCATGTATGGCTGCCAATGGAACTGGTTCTCTTGTATTTATTGATGATGTGACTGCTGACAAAAGCAGCAGGATGAATTGTGAAGTGTTTTGGGCAATATTATCTGCTCATATTTAGCCAAATGTTTCATAACTCATTGGACGCCGCTTCACAGTGCAGATGGACAATGACCCAAAGCATACTGCAAAAGCAACCAAAGAGTTTTTTAAGGGAAAGAAGTGGAATGTTATGCAATGGCCAAGTCAATCACATGACCTGAATCCGATTTGAGCATGCATTTCACTTGCTGAAGACAAAACTGAAGGGAAAATGCCCCAAGAACAAGCAGGAACTTTAGACAGCTGCAGTAGAGGCCTGGCAGAGCATCACCAGGGATGAAACCCAGCGGCTGGTGATGTCTATGCGTTCTAGACGTCAGGCTGTAATTGACTGCAAAGGATTTGCAATCAAGTATTAAAAAGTGAAAGTTTGATTTATGATTATTATTCTGTCCCATTACTTTTGGTCTCTTAACAAGTGGGAGGCACATATGCAAACTGTTGTACTTCCTACGCCGTTCACCTGATTTTGGATATAAATACCCTCAAATCCATTGTGGTGGTGTATAGAGCCAAAAATGTTAGAATTGTGTCGATGTCCCAATATTTATGGATCTGACTGTATGTGTACAAGTTGAAGGCAATCCGCTTCAAGAGGTGAGCTTGCAGGGAGATAGTCCAGACAGCAAAGTGTGTTTAAGGGCTTTTAGCTCACATTTATTAATCAGTATTGCAGCAAACACAACCAAAAACAAGACGTTTCTTCATAGTGGAAACAATCACAGTCCAGAATCCAAAAAAGGTTTTAGCCTTCTGACTAGGAGTGAGACCACACTGGGTCTATTCAGACCTACAAATATGTTCCATCACAGCCTGCATGCGTTCTTTCTCCAACAGCACTGAATATCTCAGGGAAAGGGCAGATTATACCCCAGCTGGGGAAAAAGGTGTGGCCAGTGCTTAACTCCTTCTGCGTACTGCTAGATACCTATCACTGTTTATCATACAAAATGTGATGTTTTGGGATACAAAATGAGTAGAGTGGGTAAGTATTTGATTTTACTAGACGACAGAGAAAACGTGCAAAAGGACACAGACAGACAATCTGACAGGGGTTCTATCCTTCACCTACTTTAAGCAAAACAGACAGTAAAAAATACTTTATTTAGTAAAGTGTCAGCTGAACATTAAATAAGGGAAATCTCTCTAATGAAGCTCCAAATAGTAAAAATCTGACAACCATTTTAACCCTAACCCATTTTATCAAAAACTAGATAAAAGTTTGGGCTGGAAATAAACCTCATTCCTAACTCTGAAAGCAGCTTAAAGTATGTGTCCACTGCTACCATGGGTTTGCAGCAGATTCTACGGGTTTGAAATTTGCAATCATGGTGAATTAATGTGAAAATTCTCCAGGCTGAATTCTTAGTAACCATGATTTACTGCTTGACAAATGGCTTTCTTCAACAAAATAAAGGCAAAAAGTCCATGGTCCTGGTGTAATTAAGGTCACACAAAACACACTGCCAGCATCTACATGCCACTCTAGGTTTTAGGGTTCCCATCAGTTTTAGGGTGCAAGAGAAGCCACAGGAGTCTGTCTTCAGATAGTCTACACATATATAAGAAAGGTGCAGCGCTTATACATTAAACATGCAAAATATCAAAGTGCAAGAGTATATCACTGCAAAACGCAGGTCGGGTATAGTTATACTGCCCCTTAAAAGTCTCAATTTGTCACACAAATATATAGTTCACAATCTCCCAGTGAGTAGGGTGAGGTGAAGGATCAAATGGATCCCTGTTGACACGTGGTGAAAATCAAAAAAGGTGATGTATGGTGATATCCAAAACTGATAAAAGATTGTGCACTCACCAGATGCACAACCAATATGCGCATGTAAGAGATAACCCCTCTCAAGGTATGATTCCAGGATTCATCAAAGGCAAGATCTGGTCCGTCTCTACGAAGTAGATCCTCAGCTGTCATGCATGGCTCTGTCCCCTATTGCTCTTTACTCTGCAGGTAGTTGGAAGCTCACCCGCACTGGATTCCAAGATGGAGGAAAAGGAACTTCCTTTTCCTTCATCTTGGAATCCAGTGCGGGTGAGCTTCCAACTACCTGCAGAGTAAAGAGCAATAGGGGACAGAGCCATGCATGACAGCTGAGGATCTACTTCGTAGAGATTGACCAGATCTTGCCTTTGATGAATCCTGGAATCATACCTTGAGAGGGGTTATCTCTTACATGCGCATATTGGTTGTGCATCTGGTGAGTGCACAATCTTTTATCAGTTTTGGATATCACCATACATCACCTTTTTTGATTTTCACCACGTGTCAACAGGGATCCATTTGATCCTTCACCTCACCCTACTCACTGGGAGATTGTGAACTATATATATTTGTGTGACAAATTGAGACTTTTAAGGGGCAGTATAACTATACCCGACCTGCGTTTTGCAGTGATATACTCTTGCACTTTGATATTTTGCATGTTTAATGTATAAGCGCTGCACCTTTCTTATATATGTGAATCTTTGGAGGTTGTTTTTTGGTGCCTTTTTGTGTTCAGCGGGCTTCGTTATTTTTAGCGCTCACTTATACCCTTTGTTACAAGATAGTCTACACTAGAGATGAGCGAAGTCTTCAAAAATTCGATTCGACTGATTCGGCGAATTCGTGGAAAAATTTTGATTCGAGTCGAATATATTCGCTGCAAATTTAACTTATAAAAGGGTGTTTCTAGGCTTCAGAGAGCCTTTATATTAGTGCAGAACACTGTACCTTTAATTTAAATGCCCTTGGAGTCTGCTGGGGAAGAGAAATAATACTGACAGTCAGTATGACATGCAGATGAGTGCCGTCGATCTTAGAATCACCGCACACTTCACTCATTTGGGCAGTCACGGGGCCAAAACCAGAGTGTGGAGCCACAGTGTGGCGGTGGAGGCAGCAGCAATGGGAGGCCATACAGCACCCTATGACAAAAATGGAAACCACCAGCAGTGTGAGGAGACCTGAAAGTGGCACATGGCAGAGTGTGGCGATGGAGACAGCAGCAATGGGAGGCCGTACAGGGACCCATGACACACTCTGGACCTGGCAGCAGCATGAGGAGGCGGTACAGGGGCCCATGACAGATTACGGGCCTGGCAGCAGCATGAGGAGTCGGTACGGGGGGCCCATGGCAGATTAGGGGCCTGGCAGCAGCTATGGGAGGCCCGTAATCTGCCAGCACCCTATGTCAAAAAATTGAACACACCAGCAGTGTGAGGAGACCTGAAAGTGGCACATGGCATGAGACACTGTGGACCTGGCAGCAGCATGAGGAGGCGGTACAGGGGCCCATGGCAGATTAGGGGCCTGGCAGCAGCTATGGGAGGCCCGTAATCTGCCAGCACCCTATGTCAAAAAATTGAACACACCAGCAGTGTGTGAGGAGACCTGAAAGTGGCACATGGCAGAGTGTGGCGATGTAGACAGCAGCCCTCGGAGGCCGTACAGGGACCCATGAGAGACTCTGGACTTCGCAGCAGCATGAGGAGGCGGTATAGGGGCCCATGG